AGCAAGGCGGCCATCATCAACATGTCCAGCTCTGCAGGCTCCATTGAGGAAGTCTATTTATGGAATTATGGGCAAGTTGTTTCATACCGCTGCAGCAAGGTACTGTCACACCTCCACTGGGTGTGAGCCCAGACACTTTCCTCTCTGAATGTTCTTGCATGCCTTCCAACCTCTCTCTCAATCCCTGCACCTCTCTGCACTGTGATTGAGCTCCCATCAGTCACTAGGTCCATCTCACGGCACAATCCCTTGCCTGGCTCTGGGTCCCACCTCAGAGGCACATGCTGGGATGCGCACTCAGCTGGGTTGGGCACGTGGATAATGCAGCAGCACCGTGTGCCCCATCAAAATGGCTGCACATGCTCTCCCCTGCCACAGCCACAGCTTCTGCATGTGTCCCCTTGCAGCCCCCCTTCCCCTCCCACCGCCATCCCTGCCCTCTCTCCCCGCAGGCTGCTCTGAACATGCTGACCAAGTGCCAGTCCCTGGGGTACCGGGAGCACGGAGTCCTCTGCGCTGCTCTGCACCCTGGCTGGGTGCAAACTGACATGGGGGGCTCAGGATCACAAAAGGTAAGAGAGTTTCTGGCCAAGGTCTGGAAGAGCCTTTTTATTTGGGAATGCAGAGCTTGCTGTGGATCAACCAGTCCCAGACATGCGGGGCTCTGGGGAGCTCTTTGGCAGATAAGCTGAGCTGGAGTCACATGAGGGAGGGAGATGAGAGATGGGAGATCTTCTTGCCCCGTGCTGGCCTCTCTCTGCTGACTCCAGAGTGCCCCAAGCCCTGAGCAATGATCTGCTCCAGGGCAGCCCTTAGCCAGTCATCAGGCACAAGGCTGTGTTTCTCCTTCTGTCCCCACAGCCCCCTTTGACGGTAGACGCCAGTGTGCAAGGGATGCTGAAGGTGCTCTCCTCCCTCTCCGACAACGATACCGGCACCTTTCTGAACTGGGAAGGGAAGGTCATACCCTGGTGAGATGTCAGCCCAGGATCCTGATGGCAGGTCCATTTGCTGCTACACCTGTGTCTTAATAAATTTGTGTCCATAAACAATAAAGTGGTACTGTTTGAGCCTTCCTCTTGGTCTCCTTACCACTGTCATTGTGAGAATCTTTGCTAGTGCTTTGAGACAACTTCTCTGAGTTATTTCTCAATTATATTGAGCAAAGTTGGTCTGAATGTCTGTTCTCCTCTATCTGGGTGCCTGGCCATCATCCTGGGAGGGCTTCTCCCTGGATACAGAGAGGGTCATCCCACAGCTTTCCCTCTGAACGGCAGCACAACCTTCTGATGCAGCAGTAATCCCTCTCAGGGAACCCTTCCTTCTTTGTAAGTTCAAGGGCCAGCAGAGCAATGGTCCTCCTTGGCTCCTCCATCACGTATGTCAGGAAGCTATCACCAATGGGAACCTCCTTGTGCTGCTTATGCCCTGCTGCGTCATCCCTCCAGCAGATACCAGGGTGATTAAAATACCCCATGAAGACCAGGACCTGCAAACGTGAAGCTACTTCTAGATCTCTGTAGAAGGCCTCATGCACTTGTTCCTCCTGATCAGGCAGCCTACAGCAAACACACACTGCACTGACACCCATCCCAGTCTTCTCCTTAATCCTGATCCATAAGCTCCCAGCTGGCTCATCACCCATCCCCAGGCAGAGCTCCATGCACTCCTGCTGCTCTCTCACATAAAGAGAACCTCCATAAAGGTGTCACTGAGCTCCACCAGCATCCCAGGACTGAGGATGCTGCTGTGTGTGTCCACCTCTGAGCCTTGTCCATATCCCTGGAAACAGAACACCACTGTGTGCACAGCCCTCACTCCAGCAACAGTGGCACAGCCTCTCCAGTTGGGACCAATGAGCTGATCGGCACATCCAGAGTGCACAAGGTGAGCCCCTGCCCGAGAACCCCCTCCCATGGCTCTCAATGCCCCCACATTCTGCTTGAGGAGTGGACAATGAGGTGTGAATAGCACTCCACAACAACCCATCACACCTCCCCTCCCTCTTGTAGGGCAAAACCTGGCAGGATTTGTGGGGGTTAAGAGGGGGGTCCGGGAGGTCTTGCAGCACCTCTGTGATATAATTTAGGCTCACAGTGGAACTTTCCACGTCAGGATGAAGCTGGACGCCCTTTGGCCAAGTCAAAGAAAGAGGAGGAGATCGTGGAGGAGATGTTTCGTTCTCACCCTCCTGCTACAGAGGTTAACCCAGAGGGAAGGGGGGACAAGACAGAAAACCTGTGGCCAGATGCATTTCCAGCACTCAAGAACCTCATGCCTGATGGTGAGGCTTGCAGAAGTTGTTTTCTGAATGTTGTATTAGCTGTGAAAGTAGCTGTGGAAACATGGGGGCTTTTAGGGGAGGACTGGACAGGTTGATGGGTGCAACAAGAGCCCTGTCTGATCATCCTTTACTGGATCAGGGATTAGTTTGGCTGCCAGGACTCCTGGATCCTTTTCCTGAGGACATTCCTCTGCCCTTGCCTTGCTGCCCACTCACCAGTTCGAAGCCCCTGGCACCAAGGGTCGCTCCCAGCCATGGTGGTCATGCAGAGTCGATGAGCACAGTGAGGGCTGACAGTGGTCCCTTCAGGGGAGATACATGGAGATCCCCTGAGCCTCCAAGCCCTCTGTGGACACCACATCATCCTCGTACTGGTATGGACATCTATTCCACATCCCCTGTCATGTGGAGCACCTTACATGTTTTTAATTGGGGTGGCAAAATACATTTAATCTCATTATGTCTTTGGGTAAGAGGTGGTAAGGGGTAAGGCTGAAGTGTTGTGAGCTTGCTGACTTGGAGCATGACACATCTTTTGCTTGCTTTCCAGAGATCCTTATGGTTTGGAATAGCGTGTCTGAATGCATTAGATGGCACTTGGGATGGGATATGGTGGGTCTTGCATCCTCTTCCTCCCCTCATGAAACCTGAGAGCTTGCCTTGTCCGGACAATGCTGTCCCATTGACTGCCATCACTTCCCCACTCTGAAAGCAGAAACAGTCCCCCAGCAGGACACTGCTGTCAACAAATGTGGCACAGACCAGCTTCTCTGGCACCTGTGATAAAAATTAATGTCCAGATGAAGCAGAAGAAAGTGTTAAGCGCTTTCTGGGTCTTCTCTCATCTCCACTGCCAGAATGGGAAGACCATATCCTGGTACCTCTTTAAGGGTTTGTCCCTGTTGGAAACCGCTCCCATTATATCTAGAGGAGGAATGCTGGCTCTGCTGTCACTTCTCCCAATAGCTTTCTTGATCAGAGCAGAGGAGAAAGAGCAAACAAAGACCTGGAGTACGTGCTTTCTCTTCAAAGCTTTCTCAGTGTCCCATCTTAGCCTTTGTAGGCTCAGGGTGGGCAATGCACAAGGCAGAATCGCAATGCTCTGACAAGTCATTGAATACTCACGATCATTCTTTTTACCTCCACTGTTCTCAGGGTGTCCAGCTGTTAGGAACTGGGAAATTCTATGTTCTTAAAGACTACATGTGCACTGTGAACAGTGAGGTTTTGATTGTTTGGAGACTCATGTTTCTTACGTCCAAAGTGATTGCAGATGAATGCCACCTCAGCTACACTGAAGAAGATGTTCCTGGTAAGAAGACAGATTAAAACCTTTGCCTACCTTTGCAGCACCCTTAAGGCGTATGCTAACTGCTGTTAAGGCGTAACTGAATGCCTAAAGATGTCCTGAAAACAACCCTAGCTTGTTCAAGCTGAATAGGTCACCAAGAAGCAATTTCTCAAAAAGGCATATTGCGTGTCCTTTTCTGATGATACACCTTCAGCTAGAGGATCTGTTCTTTAATTGCTTTCGGGCTTGGCTCCATATCATTCATGATTATGCAATGGTAGGACTACTGCCTTTGGACTATAATTTATTGGAGATGCTGTTTCTAATGAAACTGAGCTAAAGCTCACACTCCGCCTTTATGGGAGCATGATGAGTGCTGCCCATCTACTTGAAAGAGCAGAGGCCAGAGTTTCTGCTGGCTCTTACAGGCTCCTTCTAGAGCAAAGCGGGTATAAGTTGCTTTGTAGATATGCCAGAACCAAAGATGAGGACAGGACTTTGTGGAGGGACTTGTGGATGGCCAGCTCTGCCACGACTTCTGATCAGTGCAGCTGCAGCATGACATGAATGATGCTGCGGGTCTGTGTTGGAGGGATTCTCCTCTTTCACATGACCCCATCTTCCATGGGATTGAAACATCAGGTGGGTGCATGGGTATGAGGGACAGTGGGACAGAAGTATGCTGCTGTGCAGTCCTTGCACTTTGCTCCTCCTTTGCTCCTTCATGAGTCTGGCACAGACAGCTGGAGTGCACTGAGCGTGGGCACGCTTGTGCCCGAGCACTATGGACTTTGTCGTCAGATCTGCACCCATCTGCCCTACCCTCCCACGCAGTGTTCATCCCCCAGGCACTGTTCAGAGCTGTTAGCATGGGATTCAACAAACTGCTCTGTGGCAATGTCCTGCTTGAAGCTGCTGACACCTTCTTGGTGCCTACATTGCCCTACTGCAGCAGTGACTTTGTTCCTCTTTTTCTGTTCTCCAGCTGACGTAACAGTCATCCCTCTGAGGTATGAGGAGCTCTCCGCGTGTTCCCGGCTGCCTTTTACAACAGTGCAATGTTGTGTATATGAGACTGTGACATCATTCTTTCGGGCCACCGCTAAAAGACAGGACATAGACTTCATCTTCAAGTCCATCGGCATTCTTTCCATAAGAAACAGGGAAGTCACTATGAGATTTTATGATGACTTTCTCCTTGCTGTGGATGGCACTGGAAAGCTGCTGGAAGCCCTTCTCAGTGTAAGCTGATCCCTTCCCTGTGCTACACCTCATCTTTCTGGACACCTGTCAAAGGATGACTGAACTGGTTTGTGGAGGCCTGTCAGGACCCTCTCAGCCCCTGGGGTGGTCATGGTCTACAGCAATGCCAAGTCTGTAGCATCCTGCTCTCCTACTCAGTGGTATAGTTGACAGGAGAATCCAGGAAGAGTCATCTAGAGTTAGATCAAGGCTCTACCTAGCCCAGCATCCCACTGTCTGTCCTAGAAATGATAATGGCGGGGG